TTAAACTGTTGTGAAACACTGATTATAACAGATCTTAAAAACATTTGTGATCGAAGATGATCACGCTCTTGACGACAATCTGAAAACTGAAGCTCGTTAAACTGAAAAATTTTGTAATATGTTACTCAGACTGAAGGTCAGAAAGTTTCTAGATCAACGATACTTACATAGTCGTGACTTTTGCATAGAAAAAAAAATTTTTAATATTGTGAAACACGATCTAGAATAAGTGTTCAACGGTTTAGGGATAGAAATGTGGACCCTCTTTCCACAGGTCATGACAGACGGGCTTCTGAAATTACGTTTTTAATACACGATTGGCAATCATATATCATCAACATCTCATGAAAATATATAAACTACGTCCTTATTGCAGTTCTAGAGAGTATCGTGGTTCATATTTCAATCTTACAGAGATTGCACGTACAGCTTTATTTATTTTTTTTTTCTAGGTTGTCACTTGTAGAAGGCGTGCTATTTTCTAATGGAACGCTTCACTCTTCTTCTCCTTTGTTTTTTATGCGAACGTCAGAGCTTTTGGCAACTTTATAGCAAGTAATAGTGATTTCGATGAAGTACATGTCGAGATTTTATTAAAAAAAAAAGAAATAAAAATTTTTTAAGGATGTGACAATGTATAAATTATCAACAAAATCATTAATAATTTTCTCATCCGATGGAGATTGTCAACATGAATATAAATTTGGTGAAGTCAATGGTCTTGCTTCACTCGTTTAAAGTCCTAATAGATTATTTATTTTTCATCGAACATCGAGAGAATGAAATCAAGAACAAATCTTTTCTTTTTTATCATTTGATTTATTAAAAACAACCAAACGAAGAAAATAGTTTAACGACGTTCTCTTGTACGTTTATTATTGAACCAAATACGAATTTGAGCTGGTGTTAGTTGAGTTCGAATTGATAGATCATCAATTGTTTGTTTTGATACATATTTATCCACTTTATAAAAATGTTCTTCTAAAATTCGAATTTGTTTCCAAAGAAAAACGACGGGTTTTTTCTGGATGAACTTCACTAAAAGAAAAAGATGATATTATTCGAGTACTTACTGGCTGTTGTCGTTGAGGCATAACAACTTCATTATAATAGAAATATGGTTGATAATAATTATACGCATTAATTGGCGAAGAACTATTATGATTGAGATAATAACATGAATCTAAAATATAAGAAAAAGAACTCTCACCTGATGCACAACAATATGACATTTGTTCAACTTTTATTATAGAATGATTTAGCTATCAAACTGGGTTGAATATGTATATATAGAAGGTTAATATTGAGAGAAGAGCTTTTTCCATAATTGATACAAAATAATTAGACATCAAATATCGAACATAAAAATAGTTCTGCTTTTCTCTTTCATCTTTTTTCTGTTCTTTTTCGTTCTAGCATAAATATTCTCTTTTTATATGTAATTTGAAAAAGTTCAAAACTAATGCAATCAAATAAAAAAGTTCAAAGTCATTAATCAATAGGAAACATAGAAGATAAATTGACAAAGATATATAATTGTCAATGAAAACCATTTTCAATTTGAATAGCATAGTTAATATAAATACATTTACACGTATATTTACTAAAGACCCTAAAAATACTTTTATTTCTTTGTGAAAAAAAAACTAATTAAAATACTACGTATTTTGTCAATATTAATAATATCATAATGTAATTTTAATAAAATAT